TTCTTTGTTAGCAATTTTTGAGTGAAAATTATTTCTATACCAATTTATTTTCAGTGCAGGCCATACCTTTTACAGAAAGTTAACTTCAAAAACACTGTAAAACAAAAGAGTCAATATACATGTTTAATGCTTAGGCTATACAAGCTTCTTTTGTTGTGTTATTGAATTCCCCCACCCCTGCCCATGATTTGAGAAAGGAGTAAAAATACGGAAGACAACTACAGCAGTTGTACACTGGACAATCGTTTTTCTTTATTTTTTGTTTCAGTTCATAATATCTGTTTGTTGGGGTTTTTCTTTTTTCATTTCAACTTAAAATTTTGACACACTTATAAAAGACAGCATCTGCATAGAGTTCTCATCTTAAAGATCCATGGAGAAAAGAGGGAGAGAGAGAGAGAGAGATTGTGAGAGAAGGGAGGAAGATAGCAAAGGGTTTAGGGGAGGAGAGGAATACTGGTACGCCACACTAACCAAACAGAACAGCAAACAGTATTACAAGAGAGAGGGGGGAGAGAGGGACAGTTAGGTTGTTTGTTTGTATCTTTTTCCTTTTTTTTACAATACAGTACACACATACACACACAGAAAATAAAAGACAGAAGTTGCAATTCCAGTCAAAGTTGCAGAAATCGATTTAATTTCTTCCTTCCCATCCTTGGTGCCCATCTCATTGTGGTTTCTGCCCTGAATTCACGTTCAACTTAGATCCTAGTGGGGTGAGAAGACAGTTGGCGACACATAAAACGATGGCTGGAACCACGGTTAGTGGCTGTTGTTTCCCTCAACTCCCATAATAATATTGAAGTCGGCGTTCTTTCGTGCTTTCAAATGTGTGTGTGAGAAAGCCCTTTTCTTTGTATTGCACAGATGAGTGTTTTTCTGTTTGCTTCGAGCATTATTGTTTCTTACTGCACTTTTAAACTTCCATTTACTTTTACTTCTTTTGTGTAAGACCAGAGCCTATCCCGTGTTACTACGTTTAGCTTTTGAACTTCAGCCATGCTACATGCAAGGATTTCTAACCGACACTTATTGTGAAAGCGTCCAAACAAATACCATGAAAATGCCACTATTTGTTAAAAATTTGACATTGCCAATATGGTGGACCTCTGCAAGAAAAGCAGTCAAGTTGCATGGAAGCTACAGGCGGTGTGCATTTGACCTGTGTACATGGAGGGAAGCACTTTTTTTCCCCCAGAGCTGAACCCGCTTACGGCTCTCTGAGGTAACACAACAACATATTGTATTGATTCTGATGTTAAAGCGTTGCTCAACTTTTCTTCGTTATAGAGCACCCTTGACATCACTGCTTTTAGACAAGTGAGCAGCCGGTAGCAAAGCACTGCGACCAGGGCAAAGAACAAGAAAATCAATCAACCTCACAACTTTGACAGGAACTATTTTAGTAGTTTTATACATGGACATGCAAATCATTTTTTCTCTCTTTGAAATATTTACAATAATTACAAGACAAAGATTCAGTTCAGATTGACAAAATCGCGAGCATTCAATATTACTACTAATATAACACAACTTCTCGGGATTTTTAAATCATTGTAGTTATATAATTCATCACATTTGATAATGGTATAATTCAATTATGTCATCCTTATCCAGTCATCTTCCCGTTCTAATTAGAATAGTGTTTTCATCACATCATTACAGGCCATCCTCTGTAACTGATGATCATTTTGCTGAAATCACAGTTTGAGCACCATCTCCACAAACTGTTTCCTCGTTCTAAATCTAACACTGAAACAAGAATACTTGTATAAAGTTTAATGGGAATATACATCAAAGGAATGACACAAAAGAGGATGAAATTAAGGAGGATCATGGCTGGGGCTGTTGAGAAAAATCACAATCGCAGGTCTTGGGTACTCAATAGCCGTGGACCGAGAAGTCATATCCGTTAACGTCAAAGTCTTTGAGAGCTGTCAGTCAGGTGCTTTGACAGCTAAAGCACATGTGGAAACTAAGCAGCGAGCATTACAATACACAAAGCAGTCTACGTAGCTGAGACGGCTTCGTTGATCATGGCGGGAGCGTTCTAGCTTTGTTGCATCACCGCTCGCTCGCCATGCAGATTGGGCGTAAGGGTTTTTTCTTCCCCTGCAGTGATGAGGCACTCAACAACCCCAACCAAAAAATACTATTATGCAGGTAAACTCTAAAAGGTACATCTTTTTTTTTTTTATATATATATAAGTAGTTTGTAATTTTCACCCATTTACAAAATGCCTTCTCAATGTGCTGTGTTATGCCAGTGCTGTCTGGTCATATCAGTGTCTGTGTGACGAACATCCAAAAACAGTGTTGAAAAATGAAAATAAGACAACTGAGAAAACTTTCTTCCAGATCTGTGCCCATGTTAGTATACAGTTTTTTTTTTTATTATTTCATTTTCTTTTAACCAGAGCTGATCTAATGTCTACGTCTAATGTATTGCCAGCACAGAGGAAGCAATGCAAGTGAGCTGAACAAGGGGTAAATGGCAACATAAACAGCATCATTGAGGGGAGAAATAAAAAACAACATACAGTACACACAACATATTTGTTTTGTACGTAGCTGTTTTTGGAGAAAGTGCTTTAAAAGGAACAAGCTTGTGTAGTATACATTATACATATTGTTCAGAATGAATATAAATCAATCAATCAATAAACCTTTATATCGAGAACCTTGTCGCTGAAAGAAGTGGAATTGAAAACGTAGTAAATGTATACGCAAGATAGTTCACAAGATTTACGGGTGGGGAGGACTACACAATACAGTTGACTGTAACATTGTGCTCTGTACTCGCATAACGCTTTGGCTTTTTAGTCTTATTACTTTTCTTAACATTTGAATGAAGTCGGCACAAAACTGGAGCGCTAGAGCTGCATACCATAGACCGGCAGACCAGAGAAAGACCCTTGCGCCCGACGCCAGTTAGCGTTGCGGTGCGACCGAGGGCTCCGACAGCAAACGAGCACACACACATCCACACACACAAATGCTCATGCTCACTTATACAGCAACGTGTACGTAAAAAAGGAAAAATGCCGAAGGGACAGGGCACGCATACATGGCCTTTTGAGTTGCACAATTCGACACCGCAGCACACGACTCACAATAAAGAATAGTCTTACGAAAGAATTCACATATCATCACCAGTTAAGCACAACAATCAAGTTTGGGAACACATCAGGGGAAGGGGAAATGAACAAGATGCGCAATAATGATTTGTACCCAGAGTGTTTCCAGAGGGCGGGGGCGGGGGGGGGGGCAATACGTCGTTTTACACTATGGACGTGGTTTAAGAACATAATACCTGGCAACAAACAGATTTTGTACTCATGTGGACATCCACAGGGAACACATTCATGGGGACCACGGTAAAACTCCAGCATCGTCAGGGTCATGATGAAATAGGCAGGAGAAATATTAAATGGAGTCAGTCGTCCCCCCCCCCCCATCCAACCCTTAGAAATTCATAATAAATAATCATAAATTAAAAAAACAAATAAACATATTAACAAAACGGAAAACGGTACAACCCAAAAATGTGGCGGCATAAGACAGTTTTCTTTGATTGTAAAGTGCACACATGATCGAGAGCCATGCAAACTAACAAAGCGAAAGTTGCATGCGTTAACAAATAAGGGCCTTCCAGCTATATCGTCTACTAAAAAACAACACCGACATACATATTTACCTCATTTTACCATACATGTAAGTGATTCGACACTAAATACACAGAAGTTTGAAAGAAAACATGCTGGACGTTACTGGAATGATTAAAGCAAAATAGTCCCGGCCCTCTGCCTCAGGCTTTCTAAAAGGTGTACAGTGTATATCCCCCAAAACTTTCCTGTTCCCTACTACTTCGCATAAGGTAGGTAAAGGGGTGGCGGGATGGAACGGGGTGGGGGGGCTCCTGTTATATATTCTATGATAAGCAGTACATGGAAAATAAAGTCCGTATTGAGAAAAGGAGTGCACTTTGAGAGTTGTTCATGTTGGTACATGTTCTGTAACGTCATGAACATGAGGGTGAGGGCGTTCTAAGAGTGCGACGAATCTGAATCAAGCCAAGAGGGATTCTGTATCAACAAAAGCAAAAAAACAGAGCTAAAGTTTGGTTTTAAATTTTAGCCCTTGAATTTAAAACGAGCAGTACATAATTTACCAAGCTGGCACTTTCTGTCCGCAAAGAAAAGGATGCAAAGAATTAATGATACAGCTGTTTGATTAAAAAACAAAATCTTTGGACAAAATCAAAGAGTCTTAGTCTAAGCTAGCATTATCTTGACAAGATGCTGTCTCTCTGGCGTTCAGAGCTGGATTTGAGTTGTTTCGTATAAAGTTTGTGAAAATTAGTCGCTGCTTAATAAGTGTCCTACAAGTTTCTTCAACCGAACTGAAGAATGCGTCTACATGTAAATATTTAGTCAGATAGCTCACCAAGAGCTCGCCTCATTGTTTCAGATATGTAGAATTTTATAAGATCCAACTATCACGTCCTAGTATTTAATTTTATTAGGCTCTCTTCATTAACTAGCACCAAGGTGAAAAACGTCAAACTCCCAAATCGATCCTTCAAAACCAAAATGGTCCCGTTCAAGCCTATCCTTTATATCATAACATAAAATATATATGCAATTCATTTATCAAGGCAAATAAAAAATGCAAAACTAGCGATTAACCGAAAAATAAGGAATATTAATTTCAGCAGACCTAACCACCCTCCAAAAGATAATATTTAGGTTAGGTGTTGTTTCAAGTATTGACATTTTCTTTTCTCAAAATGTTCCCTCTAAGAAATCTTTCCAGAATCATTCCATAGGTTGCCATGAATTCATTCAAAAAGTGGGGGGGAAATTACTATCTAAACTGCATAGTTCAACAGTTTGCTTTCTATATGTTAAAATGAAATGTCTGTTACTTCATTGCCTACCATCTACAGCACAGCAAATGAAGTCAAAAGAAAATCATCTTTATGTACAAACTTGCCGATATCACTTCCTCTCACAATTCACAATGATGTGTGCTTCTTAGTTCTTTTTTTTCTTTGTTTGTTTACAGTTGCCCACAGTAAAACTATTAAGACTGAAACTCAGCTATGAGGTTGACGGTGCTTTTAATCTATAGCACTCCATCGGTAATGAGCTAATATGGTAAAAAACGAGATTTCATCTGAATGCAAGCAACCACTCGGAACGTTAGGCCATTGAAATCGGACTAGTACTACTGTCTATAACATCTATGCAGTCAGTTGGTTAGTATTCGTAATGCTAGTATGGTTTGCCAAACACCGTGTTCTGCCGGAACGTAAAACAATTTAGCAGTTGCTGGCACTGTCCTGGAGGCCCCCCCAAAAATGAAAGCAACACTGAAAAAAACAAAAAAACAAAACAAAAGTTGAGTTTTATTCCTTTACAGGTAGTAACCCATGTGCTGCTTTTATGTTCAATACATTTACATGTACAGTTTGTAAATATTATGTGTATTTGAACCCACTTTTATATATTTTAAATCAGCTAGTACGTAACATCTCCTTTTATTTATTTATTTTTTGATTGGTTGATTTTTGAATATTCGATTTTTAACCCTACCCAACCCCCGTTTTATGACAGTTTCCTTATCTCGTGTTTAAGTGGATAAAACACTCAGCTTTCCAAGTGTTTGTCTTTCTTCATGTCGTTTAGAAGCCCAGGGTTCCTCCGATAGTGGACGCTAAAACCACTCCCAAAATTACACAGCAGATGATGATCATGATCTTCTTCTGCAGAGGGCGAAAAAGGAGAAAGAAAGAAAGATGTGTAATTAAACAGCCAACAGATCAACAATCATTTGGTTTGTTCATCTAGCTACTCTATTACGGTACTCGATTGTGCAGTAATACACAGTCAGCTAATCTAAGTAGCATCACCTCATCTTAACCACACTTTAAATCATTAAATGAAACCATGAACAATTAAACCATTACCAAAGTAAATCATTAAATTAATTAAAAGTTAATTCAATTATTGATGAAAGGACCCACTCTGGGACATTGACCCTTCGAATACTGAATGTATTAAACATTGACTGCATTTGAGAAGGTGGTGATTAGATCTCGCGTAACTGTAAAGGCTAAATACAGTCCTAACATCATTCTAAACTTTGCAATCTCCAAAGGGAACATGTACTGAATGTGATGATGCCATGGAGGGAAGCTGTAAATATATTGTGCCAAGGGACTAATGCCAAACTGAGTTAACTAAATGGAAATGCTGTTGCTTGGTTGGACATGAAAACCACATGAAAGTTTGAAGCAAATAAACATTTACTTTGCAGCTTTTGTTTTGTGATCAACTGACTGACATGTAAAGGGACCAATCAATGTTTTTCTTTTTTGTTTATTTTATAGACCAATTTGGGGTGTATACATCTAAAATAAGCGATACCAAGACACAAAAGTTCCCTCAAAATATATGATGTGAAAAAAATTTATTTTCCAAATAAATAAGTAACTACTCGCTTGATAAACACAAAACAAGTGTCCATTTTTGAAGCTTAGAACCTGGACTTTACAGTACATACAGACAATTTGCCCTACTCTTAACATGCTTTTAGTGTTACTGTATACCATACTGTAATCGGTCAAAACTGTATTTCTGGATGAGTTGTGCTACCCTGGTTTGATGAAATTCATTGGCTTTCAAAAACCAAAAATATTTATTTTGGCTGGCTTTTATTGCCAATCAAATTTGACCTGCAATAGCTGTCTGGGGATTTGCGACCCCTTGTCTTAGACGTTGCACTTATGTTATCATTGAAAGCTGCAATGCGCATGGTTTAATCTTGTTTATTTAATAGTATCCTTAATTGATTTGATTATTAGCTGCAAATAACTGTAGATCAATCAATCATCGACAATTCTAATCCAGGCATTTCTGAAGCTCTGCTAAGTGAATAAATGTAAAGATTATGTTTCACCAGATCTGCAATTTGACTCATCAGAAAGCATAAAAGTAGCAGGTGGCATATCACCAAGAGTCTGCGGCCTTTAGACCACTGCAATGGACGTTAGCCAGCAAAACTGCAGCAAGAAGACAGTATCTGCTGAAGAACCAATGAGTGCCAAAGAAGCATTATAGTTTTTCTTTGGATGGTTTAAGTGGTTTAGGAATAATTTCAAAATGCTCTTCTATTGCTCATTTTTGTACATGACAGCTTAGGACTGAGCCTATGTTCTCTAGAAAGCATGAATCATTGTACACAAAGGGCATAATATTGAACGACGTCAGGTGTAACTGCTGACAGTGTTTTACCTTGCGTGCCTGACTCTGGTATTTGACAGCCTTCTTGGTGTCAGAAACTGCTCTCTCTACATAGTCCACTGAGTGTTCCACGTTATACTCAATTCTGTCAATCATCTCTCCCTGTGAATGACAAAAATAGGCACTTCAAAAAAACAACTTCTTCACAATATCCACATACACACACGACAATCACTGTATCCAATGCAAAAATCAGAAGACTTGAAAGTTAAGATTCGCTTAAACGCTCTATGCAGCAGCCTGATTTCGAACCCTCAAGCGGTGATGACTGGGTGCACCTCTTTGCCCTTGAGAAAAGGCCCTTAACCCCAGGTTGATCCATGGGGACTGCTATAGAATGCCATCATGTTAAAGTACAAGGATAATGTTGCATAAACTATTTCCACTCTCCTTGGTTGCGTGGGAATATATAAATTACTATCTGTGAATGAAGCATCAATTTGGAGCTCAATGAAGTCTAGTTTTCGTCCAGTCCGTGTTTATATCCAGAATTCAAAAATGGTGGATCATTGGCCAAGCCTGACAGTGGCCATTATGAATTGTACTTTTAAAAATTGTTTTTGTTAATTGCAAAAAGCTGATAAAATATAAATATTAGATGGAATTTTTTTAATGAAAATTTTAAATTATGCCTTGGCAAATAACTAAAATAAATGCAATATCAATAAAATAGCATATAAATAAAACTTAAATGACACTGCATACAGGTTTGGAATGACATAAGGGTTAACAAAGATAGAGTTTTTCATTTTGCCTGCACTTTACCTTTAAGTAAATTACTTCCGGACATAAATGGCAAAAATTCTCAAATCCGCAATCAATTTAACTTCCAAGAGGTCTCTATATTTCATTCCCAGTGGAGGTGCAGATAAAACTTTTTGAAATAGTTATACATTTCCAGAGGCAGCCATAGTACTTTGTACAAGAAAAAAAAACACTCTAAAAAACCCTCAAAATAGTCATTAAAGATGAGAATCTTTCTTGAGAATAATTTTTACCAAAAATGTACCAAAAAAAAAAGTAAATATTTCTCCCAACTGTATATGAATATAAAAAGATTAGATTAGATATTTTAATAGGCTATTTAAAAAATAATAAAAATAATAACATTTAGACACCTTTGTGTATGGCACATAGAAGGCCTTGGGACTGAGAAAACACACCGGGGCTGAAGGGTTTGCCTCTTAAGAAGAGTATGGACCATTTTTATATTTTGCTCAAAGCAATAAACAACTAAAAATTGACTAACTAAAACAACCTTGCCATCTCTAAATAATTTTCCAAGTTCTAACATTGTTTATTATGAAATGCTCTTTATATGCTTATTTATAATGCTAAATATATATATTTTTTAAACGTCTAAAGATGCCACACGTTAACATGTCTCAAACCTGGTTTAGTTAAACGGTCAGAGTCATCTTTATGACAGATACAAATTGTATTAGCTGCATTCTCGTTTTCTGCTGTGTTTTAGCGAAAGTATCTATTTTGCTGCTCACCGTGTTTCCGCTACTGTTGGTAGAATAACCTTGTCATCTGCAGCTCTTAATGTGGCGGTTTACGTTTTTAGCAAGAGAGAGAGAGAAGCAACACGCACGGAAAGGGCTTGAATGAAACACTTTTGGCTCTAGATAAAAATATTATAGATATAGCTCCGAAAGATCATTACCATAAACAACCCTGAGTGCTTGTGGTGTGAACCGCACTTTTCACTTTAATCTGTAGAAACGGTAAAATGCCGCAATTGGTCCAGATGGAACCAAACCGCAGTCCGCCATTTGAATAACACTGCTTTATATACAGTACTTTACTAACAGCCTTGTGGAAGGGACTTTTGTGACACGATTACATTGGTGGCATTTGATCAAATAGTATTTGGAGCATTTCTGCTCCGATGAAATGCTGGACTCTTGGTTGTACCTGACTCTCCACCAGCATGGCCATGTCCACAAACATGTCGTGCAGCTCACGGATGCTGTTCTCCAACTTAATGATCTCAGTGTGTCGGGTCTCAATCTCATTTAGTGCCTGCTTGGTCATCTGGGAGTCCATTTTGATCTGTTAAACAGAGAATATTAGAAAAAGTTCATGGCAGCAGGTTAAGTTACTATTATTCAACATACATTTGCACATATCTTTTTTGCACATACAGATTGGGTGAAACAGTGAACAAATTATGAAATATGTGAATATGCTTCCATGGAAACCAAATTAATAGTTTCTGTCTCAAATAGTACACTTGATGTTGACTCCCTTGCACGTCTGGGAAGTGTATGAGTAGGGCAGTGGCGAGGCCAGACATTTGCTGCCCATAACTGCTGGACTAGGATCAGTTTTCTATGTAATAGGATATTGGCGTATTGGCAAACAATTCAGTGCATATCTGTGTTTGCACTTTGGAGAGTGTCAAAGGTTTCTATTTACAATGTGTTTGTGCAGCGTTAAGCAATGTTAATGCCAGCCAATCGTAGACATGTCTGTTGATTTCTTGAATGCAACGGCCAATCAGAGGTGTTTAAGTCAGAATCCACTCACTGCTCAAAGCCGGGGTTTTTGTCCAGTGCTGAATTCTGCACGTTCGCAAATCCGTCATTATAAAAAAACAAAGTGTGGTAGACATTATGTAAATGAGATATTTATTATTGTGCAGTATAGATTGCTTCATTGATTATAACGCAACTTTGTGAGATTGCACCTTCGCGATGAACTAAGAGTGACAGCTTTAAGGGACCACTCTTTGCACGCTTACTAGGTGATAAATAAAGAATGTGATTTTTGAATTTATTCAGAATGTGACTAAAACTTTTGTTTTTCATGCTTGACCAGTGGCCACGCGACACACGCTGCAGGGTTTCGGGAGTGACATCCACTAAATGCATGTATTTGAGTGATTATTATTGTCATGTATGCATTAATTTTTTTCTATTTCCCCACAAATAATTTTTTTGTGTGTCTCATTTGATTGGGTGGACCAAACATCAATCTGAGTGTGTCAGTGCCACTCTGGCCCTTATTTAGCCTCGCCACTGCTGTGGGGTGTCTCATTTACCCTTTTAATTTTCAGAAGTTAGTTTTCCTTTAGGGCTGCTTTGCACTTTTGCAAAGCCCACTTTACAGTGGGATATTACCCAACAGATAATATGGCAAAAGTGTACATTCAGAGTAGTATCGTAATGGCTCAGGCTGCTATTTGTGACTGGACCTTAGTAAAATTACATTTTAAAGCGCAAGTGTTTAAATTTGACCTGAAATTATGACTTTCATGGAATCGAAAGTCATAGGAAAATCATTGATTTCCGACTATTAAACTTACATCATCAGTGAAGATAGCAAGTTTCCCGCTCTCCAACATGTCTTCCAGCTCCTCATTGGTAGTTGTTCTGCCAGCTAATTAAAAATATTAGAAGTACATGGTATCATTATGGTGCATACTGGGTATTTTGATCAGATTTGTATTCCTGTATTAGATCAACGGGTAGAATATGGCGCACAGGTCATGCTTTTGATCCAGTAACATGCTGTATAGCTTTTTTGTTGTTGCTTAAGTTAGTAAGATTTGTCGTGAAAATGTGCCTTCCAGTAATGTGGAGGATGTTTCTCAACTTTTGCATGGCGGTATATGTGTGTCTTTGTGCGCACTAGCAGAACTCACTAATTTCCAGTTGTCTCTGAATGCGGTCCTTGCAGCGGTCCCTGTATTTGGACTGCGTGGTGTTGTACTCCGTCATCACCTCCACAAACTTGCGTGACAGCGTGGAATGCTGTGGGATAAAGGTCGAGATGTTGAGGCTGCACATCAGGATGTGAATGGGCTCGCTGACAGTAAGCGGCTCAGGATAATAATATTGAGGGCCAAGTGTGATCATTGTGAAATCGGCCCATGCTTTTGCTGCAGTTTGAGAGATTACTGCACACATTCTGTTTCTGAACAGCAGATGGCGCCAAGGAGGGTGTTTGACAGAGCTGCTCAGAGGGAGGGCAGAGTTCACAGGAAGTATGTCAGTCTCTGAGCTCACTGGACACCCTGAAGGTCAGATTTGTTACTATTTTGCTGAATATTGCTTCCCTTTTAGAAAAACTGTTTTACATAATAAAAAAGCTTTGGAAGTCTTGAACATCCCCTGAACACTTCCTATGACATTATTCCCAAGTGAAAGACACAATGCATGCATTTTTATAAACATGCATATGTGGAATTTGATGGGAATTATTCATAACGAATGATAAGTCTGATATCAGTGCATTTAACATTTAAAAAATGTTAATCCGTAACAGTAATATTCTAAGATTATTTATTAATTGAATACAAAATATTAGAATAAGTTGTGACGATTTGACTGAATAGATTGACAATGATTATTGTTAGGAGAATAAAGATTGTAAATAATACTTTGACAAGCATTTAGAATATTACAATGGTCACTATTTTTATACCTGTGTCTTGCGGATCCGCAAATCTGCAGATGATCTGTTCAACCCCTCCTCTTGCTCGATACTTTGTTCGATTGCTGTGGAATAGAGAAATAAACTGAATATAATAAATTGTAGTAAAACAGCCTGTGCTAAACCCAAGTCTATGCACATGCAGTGACCATGATAAATATCTTATTTTAATGATTGACATTTCATATAGCAGCTGTCTCACCCTGGTTACCTGGTTACAACAGTTACTGAGGTGGCACATCAACTACAACACGAAAAAGTAATTTGCGAACTGAACTGTTACAATGAAAGTGCATACACACTAGCTGTCAGACAAAGTGGTCCCAGAGTAATTACAAGTCCCTTAATCTCAGAAGAACAATAGATCTCACTGTCCACTTCAGGAGACAATGGGATTCACACTCTATTCAGTTCTAATGGAGCTGGGTGCACCATGTGTCACTGGCTATATCAGTGAAAGTGTAGATTAAGTTGCTATCAGAATGACTAGCTATACAGGCTATACTTGCATGAAGAAGATTTAAAGGTTTCCAAAGTGATTATTCACATGGCAATTACAGCTCAGGGCTGGATTTCCAGATAACCTTGTCTCTTAGCACGCGACAAAGACTCTAAAGGTATAACTTAACTAAAGGTATACCATTTCTAGGCGTGTTCCCCCGAACTATACCTTGGGAGGTTGCTTAAAATATTCCTTCTTACGTGCGACGTTACCAGGTGCTGTCCGCGGCGGTGGTGCTAAATTGGTTAATATCGATGGCTCGAGAATCAATTATTCACTCATGCAGAGGCTGCTTCACTGCGTTATGTGAGAAAGCGTGGTTCTTTAAAAAAGAAGCACTTCAGAAATAAAATAGAAACTTCAGTTGAAATTGAATTTATCAGTACTCATGGGATCTAATCAATGAAAATAAATAATCCAAATTGCAAACTAAATCCAACCCTGGATATTTTACATAATTTCGAAACGAGTATGCGACCCCGCGACCTCATGCCCAAACGTTTCATGCCTCAACACGCTACACTAACAGGCAGTATGCCTTCACTATCCTTTGAAGGTGTCATTTATATTATCATAATATATTTGCCATATTACACGTAATATATTTGAGAAGAAAGACAGAAAGAGGAGAAGCGCCAGCAGCTGAATTTCGGGGCTGAGAGCTCCGTCAAGTTTGTGTCGACAAAGTCGGACCAACAAGATCTATAGGTGATGATACACAGGGGAACTTTTTGAGCAATGTTGCTGGGCAATGTTGGCATCAACGGGCAACCAGATGAGACACAGGGCCCACGACCGATCTAAATTATCCAGATAGAAATGTATTGCCCATTTTCAATGGGAAAGCGCCCAAGCAACAATCGTTCGGCAAGATTGCTCAAAAAGTTGCCCTGTGTATCATCACCTTTAAAGCTGCTGAATTTGTTGTCGTGGCAGGCGAAATTTCTTTTGAATTGCATCGTCTGACATGGTAGCCAGGGGACTAAAGTTTTCACAGAATATAATAGTGCACATAAACAAAGCTGGCAGGACGCAGGTCATGTACCTCTGGTCGATCAACTGCCATTGAGAAGAATGAGAATGCTAACTGATACCTCTCTCCAAGTATTATGTATTGGTGTAATAAAGTCAATTTTCTATTTTTAATTACACACTCATATTGTCATGGAATTAGTTGCTGAAAAATATGATCTTGTTCTTGGGGTGGAGTGTAACTTTTTGTCCTTTCCTGCACGACTTCAGAAGGAGAACACTTCAAAAGAGATTAGTCCAAACTCCTACTTAAGAGTTTTCTATTGCTTAACTCCCTTTCCCTCAGGTGGCTGCCTTTTGAATCAAAGTTTGACTCCAAATTAGATTTGCCTACGTGAGCATGAAGATTTTAGGAGCTTTTAGAGGACTAAACTTCATGTGTACTTGCAAATAGACCTGAACCTTTCTAATTTTCTCAAGCTAAATTCAAAGAGTCGAAGAGTCTGTTTCATTGTTTATATACGTAGAGCGAGCTGGCTGTAAGTTTTCGATATTTTACATAATTGTGTGTTTTTTCTAAAACAATCATAAAGAAATATAAAAGTGCTAATAAAGTAAAAAAATCTATTTTTTATACCTTTTAATTTAGAGCGCACTTTATTGGCTGTCTTCTTAATGTCAGCTGTGAGGTCCTCCAACTCCTGCTTGGTCTCTGCGGAATAAAAACACAAGGAAATACAAAAGAGAAGTTGTTTAAATGCATATAATGTTGAGTTTGAGCACTGGTTGCATTATATTTAGGGTACAAAGTCATGTGACAAACATATTAGATAGATAGACAGAAAGACAGATGGATAGATGTATAGACTTTTATATAGAATATATTTGAACAAAATAGGGTTTATGCTTAATAAATGCAAAAATAAATTTAGTTCAAGATGTATTCTATGAAAAGTTTTATTATCTTACATAATTTATCCATAGTTTTACTGGAGAACATGACCAAAATACAGATTAACAATCCTGATTTTTGTAGTGCAATCTATATTAGTTTTTTTATGACTTTAACCTTTGAAAATATCTCAGGCCATATAAAGTTCTTGTTCTTTAAAGAGAAAAATGAGTGGTCTCTTGTTAAACGGTGGCTGTGTGTATGGACTGCAGGCTGCAGTCATATGTTGATTGATAGTTACTGCAGTGCCATTCACTCCCTGGACACCACCTCAGCCTTTTCAACTCCCACCTACACACTCGCCTTTCCTCTGACTAATCCAATCCCTCGCTGCTTTCTCTCTTTTCTCCAGCCATGAGTTTGATGACCATGACATTTCTCCCTCTACGAGTATTAATGCCAATATCAATTTATCACCAGGGATTATATGTGCATTTATTAAGAGGAATAAAGCACTTGCAAATTCATACTGAAATATTTATCATAATATACAGTGCTTAACACATTTATTAGACCACATAAAGAGAAAACTATTTTAGGAATCTGTCAAAAACCTGTTTAAAAACATTTTATTGTCATTTATTATGCTAATAGCAAACTGAAACAACTAAATAGCCTTTATTCACACATAATAACCAACAAACTTGATATTTTGTATGGCGTCCGTTGGCCTTGGTAACAGCTTGCATTCTTGCTGGCATTGTTTTTATGTACAGTACTTTTCCACAGTCTCTTTTGTTATTAACTTCCAAATAGTTTCTAGTTGTTCTCAAATAATTACTTTTGAAGAAACTTTTGTGCGATCTATCTTTGAATCCTCTAAATCCCAAATTTGTTCAATAGGATTCAAGTCCGGACTTTGACTTGGCCAATTGTGACTAAAGAGACAACACATACTGGTGGATTAACCATTACAGAAGCATAAAAAATTATTTTGGTAATCACCAATACTGCTACTTTAGAGCGGCTGTGGCACAAACCTTACATTGGGAGGTGGTCTAATAAATTTGTTAAGCACTGTATGTGCAAGTCTCAAATTTTTGTATTTAAATATGTACTTCTGTGTTTTGCATAACATATATACATAGTTCAGTCGTGACTCTAACCGAGCGCTGATTGGTTCCTCTAACACTGCGGCATTAGCCAACCAGACGTAGTACTTCCTAATCCACATGATGCTGTGCATGATGCTGTACCCCTCTTCCTCCCAAGTGCCACCTGTAGAGATCTGCTATGGGGGTTTTAATGTATTCTTGCAGCAGCATGTCCTTACGTACAGCATGTTATTTTAACTAAGCTGAACAAATTCTTGTATTTTCTTAGCAGCAGCGTAGCAGATTTCATCTGCCAAAATTAAGAATATGTTTATTCCATGCCCCATGAGAATGAATGCTGGTTAAATAATTCTCTCCATGTGTTGTCAAGATTGAAATACATATACACAACTTATTACTAAATAGGGTTTTAATAAGCTGGATCGAGAATTTATAGAAGCCTACACTTCAAATCACTCAGCGTCTCCTCCTGGCCATCAATATTGTGGCTCCTGCTGATCACTTTCAGGGGATGGGCGGCGGGCGGCGGGTAGAAGAAGGGTGATAAATTATACGTCTATACGTTGTGAACAGTAATTTATCACTTTGATTGGCGTTTCATAGTAAATACGGGTGATTTTTCAATTAGGGGAACTTTTCTGTTCCCAAGGATGATTGCTTTTTTAGCTTTTAAAGGAGAGATCATAATGTCTTTAAGCTTTTTAATTGTGTGTCCTTAATTACTTTTTCCTCATTTTTAGGAGTGTTGAAAGGTTAAATTTGCCAGAACTGATATATTTGACTCAATTTATTATCTCTTTAGTTAAGTTAATTGATGGTTAGCTTTCGGCAATTGGGTATTATTTTGATTGGCATGTTGGATTGACAAAATTCAGTATGCCGGAACATATTTTTGTAATATCCATAATATATGTATATATGAAAAATGCTTTCAAGCATTTCGAAAAATCGGAACATCTGCATTGAAACTTTATTCCCTTTTTCAGAGAATTACAAACATTCAAAGAATAGAAATGAATTAAAAATAAATCAAAATAATTTAAAAGTGATTCATAAATGTTGGTAAATGTACCATTAAAAAATATTTAAGTCACTTTAGTTTAAAGCTGCACTATGTAACTTTTGGGCACTCTAGCAGTTAATAAACAAACTACATTCGTCTTGCGGTAGAACATTGTAGCCGGAGCTACTTCTCTCTGTTTATGTCTATGACGAGTCACGCAGGTACTGGGCTACTCCGCAGCGGTGGCGACCCGACCGGTCTAAAATAGTCCGAATATAAACACTTATAATAGGTGTACCATAGTGATTCAGGATAAGACAAAAACACGGTTTGGAAAATGGATTCATGATGTACTCGCTCATAATATAAATTTTGAACACAAAAAAGTTACATAGAGCAGCTTTAAAAAAAAAAAAAGTACATGACAAATAAAACAGTGTAAAAAAGCGCTTAAAAAGTAATGCTGTCCTGTAAAACAAATGATCTGTTTAGTCACTCGTGTCCGTTAAAGTGCTGTAGTCAGGGTGTGGCCAGTTCCCCTGTTCATCGATTTAACAAAAGTGTAATGTATCTCCTGTCACTGAGTTCGCATCACAATATTTGCACACCGCTACACCATTGTTGTCCTTCCAGACAGCTAAATGCAGTCCTGCTCTTTCCTGTTCTAAACTAGCCATTGTCTCATGTCAGCTTTTTTTTTCATGTGGTCGAGAGATCGATTTGACCGACGAGAATGTTTCTTGTCACACCCACTGTTTAACATGACATCTAACCAGCACTTTAATAGATCTTGAATGTGATTTTATTTAAATCGGTTAGCAGTTGCCACAAATTTGCAAAAGCAGACCTGTTGCAGAAACATGAGATTAAGGATTTCTGCTAAATTTTCATTCATACAGTTCTACAAAATCTACCCCTGCATGTTTGTTTATTAAATATTTCTCACAATTTTTTTTTTCTTCTCAATGACCTTTTTGAGGTAAAAAAGCTCTACAGGTCTGGCTCGTCTATTAATGACTGACTTTAATGATCTTTTATCAGCTAATGTTTATCTAATATGAATTTACTAGTCATTTATGATAGATAAACTAAATGAATCTGAATTCTTTGTAGCATATGGTGTTTGTTGACGTCTACTTTAAAGAAAAAAAGATTATGTAATTTCAGCAGGGCTTTTTTTATTATTATTTTTAGCCACATTTTACCGCCTACTGCAAAATGCATTTAGCAAAACATTCCAACAAATAAGTGAGCACTTATAGCAATGCTTTTATGTTTGTTTCAGAATACTGAACATCCAACAAAATCCATCCAGACCACAAAAAGTCCTCAACCCCCAAGGACTGGCAGTATAGAAAAGCTAACCGTCCAATTTATCATCACCCCTCAGCTAAGTAAACCACACATAGCTCATTTTTACTTGCTAACGTCACTCACCTGCAAGGCAACATGGAGAACTTTAAGGGGCAGGAATTCATTATGCTGTTATTCTGATGGCTAATTTAGTCATTTAAGCTGATTGGGTGAATTAATGAACTAGGGCAAAGAGGTAACCATTAGTCACCCGTAGAGCCAACAGAGGTTAACATTTTTTGCTCAAGGTCACAATTGCTGAATTTAAAAGAGGGATTCGCTCATTTTTTTTCAAGCTGGCTTTTTCACAAACGTTGCACATTTAGCTTTGTACAGTAGCACATACACAAAAATGTTATGTAAAAGTAGGGTGACCTCAGTAAAAGGGTAATAAAAAATCCATGAAATGCTTTGGTTTTGTGGTGGGGGTTTATTAATGGAGAACTTGGGCTGCTAACAAAGATGTTGTGGATTAGCTTCTGGAAGCACTGACCCAAAAATGTTACTGAGATCACAATAACCCTGTATTACTGAGGGTGAGGGGGGTGGTATTACAGTCTTGGTTAAAGATCTAAGCAAGCAAACGTTAGTTTGATCCCAAGTTGACGTGACTGAGATCATATTCCTGTCATTATATTAGGAGTAAGACATTTTGGATAAAAGGCATCTGCTAAATGAAAAATAACACTGTCTGTATTTCCATTTTTGTATGTCTTCCTGTGACTGAATTCAAAGGCTTCTGCTGTAAGAAATGGGCATTGGGCCTCAAATTATAACATTACAAGAATGTATAACATTACAAGCTCAATAACTTACAAAAACACACACAACACTACTGAAACTGAAGGAGAATAATGCAAGGAAAACAACTTAAAATTGCCCTTAATGGCTTTAAATGTCAAACTTATCATGTCATATACTCACTCTCAAGTCATTTTCCCTGTATAATTTAGCGAAACTCAAAAGTCGCTCTTAAGCAGAATGTCTGAACATCCTTTTCCATAAATAACAGGAGATGGTGATTTACACAACCCAAAAGGACAAAAAACTGTATAATAGTTCATATGACAACTACAATTATTCCTTTTGGTCATTTTTGGAACATGGCAGTATAAATCGCCATCTACTTTTGTATGAAAAAGTCGTCCTAACATCTTGGAACGACGTGAGCGTGAGTAAATAATGACAACATTTTCATTTTGGGTGCACTATTCCTTTAAGAATTAGTTTATTAAATATGTTCTCCACCTCTCCTCAGGTTTCCGGGTTCACACTGACACAGATATCGAGACAGACACTCAACTTCCACAGGTTCTCTTCATCCTTCATGCAGCATGGTGAAAACAGACAGGGGGGGGGGGGAAGCAAAAGAAAAGAGAACAGGAAAAAAAGAAAGAAAATAATGTTCTTATACATGCATGCAACAACTTAACAGAAACAAAGAAACCATGCATTGAAACCAAAGCGAATCACATGCAGTCAAATGTAAGAAACTGAACCAAAACTGTCAGACACAGTGAGACGTCATCTATTAAAGATTCATCTATAGCAGCTGAGTCATTCATAGGCTGTGGATTTCTTGGATCTAAGCCAGCCAGCTTCAGAGGGCACTCTGGGTTTTGGGTTCAGTGCGTTCGATAAGATGTATCAACCGCATTTGTGGCATAAAGTCAGATACAACAAAATAATTTAGAAAAATTTGTAGTTACAGTAAAGCACGAACAATGGAAGTAAACAGAGGCAGGTAATACATGCTAAAATATAGCCATAAGCATAGTATAGCCACAATACTTCCATATTAAACAGGTTAACATGAGACTAATAGAATAGAATTCTTTAATAACATGTTTTGTGTGGTTATTTACTATATTAAACAGTTCTGGTCCTCGAATTTGATTGGCTGAGCAGCGTTCCAAGAGTCCAAGAAGAGAGTCACCGAATCATTCACAATCAAAGGATTTGTTTAAAAACACTAATTCAATCAGAAACAATGAGGAATGAAAGCACCATTTACTTCCATTTTAAATGGTACATGTCCAGAAGAAGAAAAAAACATGGAAGGACTATGGCCCTTTTTTCGTAAGCGAATAAACCCAAATCTATTTTACAAATTTAACCTGCCCTGAAACTGATGTTTGATTACTATTGTAAGGTGAAGTATTTATTTTCGGCAGCACTAGCGCAACCAATAGGAATTGCAAAAAGAATGACTTTCACTTGCTTTTCAGAAAAAAATAGCCTATGAATAAGGATACTTATGGTTGTCTCTGCTTATTAAAAGGGGTAAAAGTACACACAAAAATACACACTTCACCTTTAAAAACTGTCTATTTGCTATTTAATGTTAATTTAGAAGCAATATTTGAGTACCTGTAAAATAACAGATTCCACAAAAGCATTTCTTCATTAAATAACGTTGTAACCGCACTGATTTGGAAACAGTTGGCTTACTGCACATTTACTAAAGAGCTGCTCTGTCAGAATGACCTCACACATTAGTCACAGACAATACTGGAACGACTCAAACACTCATAGACATTTGCCGTAATTGAAGAGTGTTGCTGGGGAAAGATGAGGTGAGCAGGATTTTTTGGAAACATTTGAGGACTCAGAGCTGAAGAAACAGCCTCTATAGATGCAGTGTGGGCTGGTGCACTATGAGGTGTGTGGGTTGGGTCTAACAAACACTTGGAGCGATGTGGCGACTCTTTTGTAGAGTGGGTGGCGCAAATGCAAGGTATTGGAGAAAGGCTTGAATAGGCTCACCAATGAGCTCATATATCTTACCACACAACTGCAGTCAAGTTGTGGAGCTGGTGCTTTTTTCTAAAAAGTGATAAATACTTTATCGAATTTGCACCCCTCAAACCTTCCTGCATTGGGACTGAATATGCATGCATGATCATTTTTTAGAGGTTGTACATATGTTAAAGGTACAGTTCTCCAAAAATTTTTAATTCTGTCCTCATTTACTCACCTTCTGTACATACAAGTTTACATGTGACTTTAAATTCCCATGTAAGGATTTTGAATATAACACACAAGTCATATTTTATGCAATGAAAATGAGTAAATGATTCATTTTTGGGCGAACGATCCTTTTATGGGCGAGCAGTATAGACAATGCAAATATATACTGTACGATTCATCACTTTTAATGTTGAAAACGTGGGTGGAGTTAAAAGCTAATGTAAAAATGTGTCATGTTGCCCTGAGATATAGATATGCATTTACAAACGTGTGTCAGTGTGTTAGGTTTCTATTTGTATGCGCGAATGGAAACATCCTAGAGGGAGATATGGGGGAGGTAAAACATTAAATGTGCACTTTTTTTATTGTATGCCTGAACGTCTCACTGATGAAGTGCCACATACATGTTCATGTTATTGATCTGAAAAACAACCATATTCTAGAGGCAGAATAATCATTTTCAAACCACTTTGAAATGAATGTGAATGCTTTTTCGTTGACGCAGTGTAAACGCTGAGGCAGTAGTTTGGATAAAACGGTGTGCTGATGGGTGGAACTCACTTTCATCAGGGTTGGGTGCTGCTAGGATGGCACTGTGCTGCTTCTTGACCTGTTCTACATCCTCTGACAGCTTTTCAATACAGCCACGGATCTCCTCAACCTGTCAAGGGAACATGCGTTTAATAATGCTCATAATCCACATAGTGACATTTGCAAATTATATGAAAGAGGTCTAAATCTAAATGACTACTTGCATATTGTGAAACTCTGTGTAAAAAAAAAAAGAGAGAAAATTATTATAAAGAGTAAAAAGTAGGGCTGGGAAATGATTAATCGCGATTAATCGCATCCAAAATAAAAGTTTGTGTTTACATATTATATGTGTGTGTATAGTTATTTTGTATATATAAATACACACAGACATGCATGTATATATTTAAGAAATATTTGCATGTATATACTTTATATATATTTATACATAATTAATATTATATATAAATATAAATATTTGATATATTAATAACACATTTTTCTTAAATATACACATGCATGTGTGTGTATTTATATATACAAAATAATTATACACACTACACACACATATATTATGTAAACACAAACTTTTATTTTGGATGCGATTAATCGTTTCCCAGCCCTAAAAAGTAATCGGCTAATCAGCTTGAATAACATGGAGCAAATTAATATTTGTATTTATTAATAATAAAAAAAGAATGTATATTTATAATATAATTTTATACATTTAGATTATATATTTAACCAAAAATAAATATTTTGACATTTTCATCATATTTCTATATCCCATATTACAGATACCATATTATTTCATGTCACATTAAATGTTAGCTGTAGACATTAATTTGCGATCAATGTTTATCATTTGGAAGAAAGCATGCAGGAACTAAACTGCTTTAAGGTGTGAACTGCATAAAAATGAATAACTATGCTTCCTTATGTTCAAGAACAGTATGGGAAAAAATGCCAAGAGCCTTTTTTTGTTTGTTTAATTTCTTAGATTTAATCATTTTGAATCTGCTAGCAGTATTGGCCAAAAGTGATGTCCGGCCAAGGAAAATTGACATCCTCACCCTTTATTCTTTTTTTTTTCTTCAAATATTATTCATACTGGCATGATGAATCCGATTCTGACTTGTGATGCAGCCTGAATCATAATCACACCGTGTTCGTTCGTTGGCCAAAGGAGAACTGCCCCTCGACTGAGGCTGGTTTCTCCCAAGGTTTTTTTCTCCATTCTGTCACATGATGGAGTTTGGGTTCCTTGCCACTGTCGCCTCTGGCTTGCTTAGTTGGGGACACTTAATATTCAACAATATAGATAAAATGAACTAATTTAATAATTGATGATCTTTACAACGGAACTGAATCAACACTGAACTGACTTCAACAACAGCCGAAAATGCATAATTTTCCTGTTATCACTGTGAAGCTGCTTTAAAACAATCTGTATCGTATAAAGTGCTATAGAAATGAAAGTGACTTGCCTTGACTTGACTATTAAATAAAAAAAAGATTTTGTAAGCGTAGTTGTGCTTGTAATAAACGTTTGTTTGTGATAAGGCAATAAAATAAGCCAAATTGTTCGGACATAATTTTTGGCCTGGCTGTCATACAAAGAAATTATGAACACATGCAAAAACAAGAGAGAACCAACTTAATATTAGTAACTGAGTCTGTTGTAGTCAATGTATGCTTTATCCTGTGAGCTTTTTGTTTTTCTATGCATTTTTCTATGCATAGTAAAATAAAACCGGTAGCTGTAGTTTGCTTTTTTTTTGCCAAATAATTTTGTCAAATAACTTAACCAAGTTTAGTGTTTTGTTTTTCCTGCATATTTAAAATATTCTAAAAAAATAGTAAATATTTTCCTTATATTTTAATTGTTAAATCAAACTTGTAGTGTCAGAAACAAATATTCCAGTCCGGACATCACTTTTGGCCACTACTGTAAATTGTTTTCATTACAAATTATATTATCAGAATTACAGTTTAAGTAGTTAAAGGCTGAAATACGCTACACAACTTTTTTTGCCCTGATTTACAGTCTGGACGAGTCAACGCTAGTTGCTGAAAGTCAGGGCAAATCTGCAGATTTTGTGCAGTCGGATCACGATGGGCAGTTGGGCATAGACATTTTTTTTAGCTTCAGACTATGATTCCATCCAGTCAGAGGATAGGATATCAAACATTTAATATTTTGAGCCGATTTTAAAACACATATTGTTTTCATTTTTTGTCATGCATCTTCTGTCAATGAGATGCGTGAGTTTGTTGTGTTTGGAATGACTTGAAAGTCCGGAAGTATTTGGTATGGATTTACTTTAATGATGCCCAGTTTTCCTCTGTAACCATTTACAAAGTCAGCTAGTGTATGATGCGTAGTTTTTTTTTTAAATCGGTTCAGATTTTTTAAATCAAATAGTGTGTTCTGGGCCGGGTTTACCTCATATTGTGACATAGGCAAAATACATTTAGGCCTACCCCCAATGAATGCTACTTTTAAGGAATTGAAAAAAACATTGTACCTTTTAAACAATTAAACACTATTGTCGATGTTGATATTGTGGAATTTTTATATGATCATATACTTGCATGTGCCATTATATTAACATTTTACTAAAATCAAGTTCAAATAAAATTGACTAGTAAATGTCGTGTTTTTGCCCTTTATTAGAACAGCCATCTGAGGCAGTAAGGTCATCACATTACGTTTTCATCAACTTACAGGTTATAACGTTTACTGTAGCTATGTGGGCGCTCAGTTTTTTTTCTATTTGGCCATGTTTTAAAAGATGAAGTGCTACGCACAAGCTATTTAAGGCAGTATTGGCTATGACTCGATGACAAATAAAAAAAAAACTACTAAGACACTCTTCTCCGCTCCTCAAATACATAAAACTTTAGCCTTTATAAATAGGGCCAGATTTACTAAAAGCGTGCGCCAGCACAAATCCTCTTTTGCCGTTTAAAAACTACTGTCAGGATTTACTAAAGACACGAACTGAAAAATTAGCGCTGAAAAGGCGTGAACAGTTATTCTTGCGGCTGACCTTATTGCATATGCATTTGTAGGAGTTTCCCTTTCAGACACAAAATGAATTGGAGGAGAGTATTTAAATGGTTTGCGCTGGTCAATTCGCCTTTGGCTAAGCCCCGCCCCCCTTAGTTACTGTTGCTACGTCCGACAAACAAACTTCATCTGGACTCTGGTATCAACATGGCTTATGCTGTGACAGCTCTTCCTGCTGAAATTTGATCAAACTTTTATAAAGCAGCAAATAAAGTGTCCGACAGAAGTAGGCAAAAGGGGCGGCAATATACGTTCGAAGGCTATATTCACGACATACAGGTGAAACGCAAGGAACAAGGCATCCAAATAGAGGCAAAAGCATACCGGTCACAGTCAAAAAATGAACCACCGCATATCCTACTAATCGAGACGGAGGCTGGGACTAACAATATCATGGAGCAACACTGTTCATGCAAGCTGGGTAGGTCTCTATTCACTTCTATAATCGTTATTACAAAGCAAACGGACTACGGGAGTATAACGTTGTATTTATTAGCAGCGTGTGCTAGACGACACTTGTCAGGATTTGACTTCGGTTTTGGGAAGGGAAAAAAACGGACACTCCCCTCCAACCTCTCTGGGAAACGTGTATCTGTGTTACAAATGCCCCAGGCACAACGTTTAACCATATTTTTGATAAAACTACGACGGTAATAGCCGGTCGAGACCAAAAATATGAGACGCCTGTGTTAAAGTCAATGGAGCGCTGTGAAAAAGTGTCGGACCTCTGTGGGAGGAGCTCGTTCTTGGCTGCGCTGTGATTGGTCAATCTACATTCTAGGGTGTGGCTTAGCCAAAGGCGAATTCACTGGTATTTGCGGCATTATTTACCGCCCAGGAAAAAAAAAAACGTGTTAAACCTGACGCTAATTTGCGCTGCTCTTGGTAGATTGGTTTGGTCATTCTGGAAATGATCCGGCTGCGTGTGTGTTCTTTCATTTGCACGTCGTCAGTAGATCACGCAGAACTTTCCTCTCCCATCGGCACTTTTATGGGATTGTGCTCTCATGCTAATTTGCCCTGTTTAGTAAATCTGGCCCATAGTGTTTGTTGAGAAAAGAAAATGCTGTACTTATTCAAACAACCAGTTATTTGTTTACCCTTCCACTGCAAACGACCAGAGGCGGGGTGTAGTTATGTGGTTTTACCAACAGTTTGAAGAGTCAATACCCTAAGTGTGTTCCAGCTTTAAGTTGAAATCGAATATTTACATGAATCTCAGAATGTTTTAGTAATTGGTTTGTCTCTCTTTTGCATTAATGACAGCAGCACTCAGATTGATATGAACAAAACCTGATGAGCAAATCAAATCAGCCACATCTGCATAAATCATAACTGGATATGATATTTGCCTTAAGATAAAGTTTACCTGTTCAAAAAATTCATCCATAAAGTGGTCTCGGTCGACATGGACGACTTCCTCGTCATCGTCACTGTCCTTAGCCTGTGAGGAAAACAAAAACATAGATTAGAATGTCTTAATGATGTCAATCCAAGAAAAATCATTTCTTTAGTAGTTTTTATAATGTTGGGCAATAACTTGGACAAGCACGGAGTGAAAATAAAATGAAATGTTGGACAACATATACCTCTACAGTAAATGGTATGTAAATAGGAAACGTGTATGATTAACATTTAGTTGGATTAGTTTAGCTGATGCTTTTACCCAAAGCGACTTAAAAAGGAGGAATACAACAATAGCGATTCATCTTAAAGAGACAGTTGCTCAAAAAAAAAAAAACACCAGTTTTAATCAGCATTTCTTCCATCAATGCAGAATAATTCTTTGCTGCTGTTTTTGGTGGCTTCACTCAATATCTCATTCTCATCCAAGAACACAGTGATGAGATAATGGCCCATATACACAAAAGAGCAACCGTATTCAACACATCCAGCGGCTTCTCCATTTCTCATATAGAATAAAGTAGGGCAGCCTAATAAACGAATGCAAATCACATGTTTCCAGATGAGCACACGGTGTCACATTTAAAAGATCGTTTGATTGTGTTCACATATTGGTTTGAGAATTGGGGATAGCTGGAGGGTGATCTCAGATTAGCTGTACGGCCAATCCACACTGAGTGGAATAGGACGTTCTCCTGTGTGTGTAGCCATAAAGACCATCCCCCGTCCCCACCTCTGCACCTTTTCTGGGAACTAATAGCTCTTCATTTCAAGCACACTGCTTCGCACCCGATGAAGCGGCTATGTCCAAAGAGAAAACATAGATTATAGTGACAGTCAGGAGTGTGAGCTGGAATCTTGTTTTACTGGAACACGATTTGGAATTTCATGGGCACTCGTTAATATTTAGCGCTTAATCATTAATATTTACAAACCAGTTCTTGGACAATTGTGTGACATTGTTGCCAATGAAACTAAAACAGCTTTTATGAGGATTTTGAGCAATTATCATCACCACAGACAGACTCTTAAAATATTTTTAACTGTAATAAACTGAAACGGAGAGCAGATATTATATTCATGCAGATGAAAGAGACAGGGCATGTTTATATTTAACTTGATTAATTAAATTAATTCTAAATAATTAAGTAATGCAGTTATTAATAACAACATATTGAAACAGGTTTCCCAAAAACGTGCTATTCTTAGAAGAAATACTTGCGACAAGAGGTTATTCATTTCCATTGGAGAGGTTTATGAAAAAATCATGGAGTTCTAACTCTCTGCCGAAGTGACATTTTCAGATCATATTTGTTTTAAGCTTTGGATACTTTTAAATGTTTCAACTTATCCGGTTAAAAAACTGTACGCGACAGTCCAACTTGATATGATGTATTCCAATCAAAACTATAAAAGCGAAGTAAAAAACGACAATAATATTTGTCTAATGTCATCTTAAGCACCTATTATGTCTATAAAAAGGACAGTTATAAATAAAGTAGTCAAAAATTATTATTTATTCTGTTTAACACTGTAGCCTTGGGCAGACCATAAAGTGTTCCTTTTAAAAGTAATAGATATGTAGTATATGGATGGCATTATTCCTCCAATACACCATGGGCAAAAAATGGAGGGTGAATGTTTGTGCTCTGGCGCAATATTATATTTGAATAGAAAAAATAAAATAGCTGCTAAAAAAGCCAATGCGGTGGGCAAAAAGGTTCAATTCGTACTCTCGCGCTGATTTGGTTGACATAAATTTACAAGAATGCATTGACAACTGGCTATTTCTTGAGCTGAATGTTTTTAATCTCAGATTTTTCAACGGTATATAGAGCTATGCTAGACATAACTGTCTGCCTGTCGGGTGATTGATGCATCAGCCTGTCTATCTCCAGCTAACATCATTTAATTCATGCGGAGGCTATTTTCGCTCTCCCGTCATCAGATAATGGCAATAAAGTCCCTTCCCCCATGAGCAAAGGTGAAATGTCTGATGCTTTTAGCTTACTGACAATTGCATAGTCAACATTTTAGCTAGCCGTTTCTGGTTTAGCTACCAGATTCAATGCATTTCCCTGTGACGAGGATTTCATGTCAAAGCACAATGAAATAGTAACAGAAAGCGGCCTGTGTGTTGTCTCATCAGCCGTGCTAATGTTTACTCGCCTGCTTCTCCTCTTATCTGGCCGCTCCCTTCCCGAGCCCTGCCCTCCCTGCCCCCTCAGCATCTGCTTTCACGGGGAGTGGCTTTGCCGCTGGTCCCCTGTGCTGTATGTCTATGGTACCGCAATATCAGTCGCTAATGACCTTCACAAAAAAAAAAAAATTCTATAGCAACAGATTTCAGGAGGAGAAACCTGGTGGATTTCTGAATTTAAGTGCTGAGTTGTGCCACCGAAGCCTCCTACCAGTGTGGTTAGTGTGTGGGTGATGACGGAAGATTCTGCACATGTTGTTGCCTTTTTGGGGGGAAGACACATTCTGTGTCTACAAAGCTGGAGAGCACAGATAAGGTCAGGGGGAAGAGTTTGGAGACAATAAATCTCCTACGATGTTAGACAAGGGTCACAGTGGGACAGCAATAAACAATTCATATCTGCTTTCATCCCTTTTGTTGTTGAGTGACAAGAAGGGATTCTCTGCTAAAACAAGGGGAGACATTTTAGAGAATTTTTTTCGAGATATATTTGGTACTACCTCAAAATATATTAGCCTGGAAAGGGAGATTTATACTGGCTTGAAATTAAGTAGCACAAGATTCATTAGGGATGTCATTATTAGTCATTAAACAACAGAATCTAGATTATATACGAAATATATATTTATCTTACCTATTTGTCTATATATTTAAAATGTATTTTATTCTTGGGATGGCAAAGCGGAATCAGCTGCCATTACTCCAGTCTTCAGTGTCACATGATCCTCGAGAAATCATTTAATATGCTGATTTCTTAAAAAAAAAAAATCATACTGACCCTTTTGTATATATGTAAATTTATATTTTGATATTTTTAGCAGTGAGCTATATAGTTAGCGTGGTGACATCATGCTGTTGCATTTGGCCATTTTATTGCATCTCATGCTATTTGTGGGGCGTTTCACAACTTAAAATAGTCCTGCTTTTAAAAACACATCTTTAGATGAAATGCATTCTGCTTAGCTGTTTTTGCACACAAGGAAGAGAGTCATATCGGGGTCATGTGAACACAAAACCTGCCTTCCTTAAGGCAGATTATTTGTACATTTCTGAATTTTATCCAAAGCGACTTCCAATGCATTCAGGGTATTCATTTGACCAGTTCTTACAACAACAACAACAAAAAATCCTTTATGGTTCAATGTAGGTATAGGAAAATGTTACATTTCCATCTCTGCAATCCAAATATATATTAAATATAGATGTATAAAGAACCCTGATAGTGTTCTTTTTCACATATATATTGGCTTCTTTTTTTAAAAAAGAGCACCACTGTATGCTTGGGGATATGTCACATCTACTCATTGCCAGCCTTATGACAGATCCTCTGTAAAACTACAGCATAAGCAACCCAAGGTCATTATAGTCTATTTGGGTACACAGCAAATATCTGAGATTGGTTTTAAGCAAGGGATATTATACAATCAGAGGGCCATTATCGCAAAATAAACCCAGACAGGGTGTTCAGGATCAGGGGCCGTATTCACAAAGAAATTTTAAGGCTAAAAGTAGCTCCTAACTGGCGAATTTAGGAGCAACTCCTAAAAATAATGGGCGTGTTACTCCTAACTTTAGGACTCCTAATTTTATTCACTAAGAGTAATTCACGAATCATTTTAGCCCTAAAAGTAGCACCTAAGTCTGGGACAGCTTAAAAGAAGTCGAGAGGACTCCTAACTCACTAAGACCAATTCACAAAGGATTGTAGCGCACACCACCGCCTCTCGCAGTCGTCCGGCGTCCGCGACACAAGCGGGAATGCTGCATTGATCTGCAAACAAATCCTCTCTCATGTCTCACGCTTAGTTTTGCTTGATATCCCAGTGCCGAATTTCACTTTTATTATGTTTTTTTTTCTAGCACTAACTGGGCCAGCAGCAGTTACTGATCCTGCGTCCAGTTGGGCTTTCTTTTCCGTTTTGGCGAGTTCTTAATCCACCGTCATTCAAAGTTACATTACTTCGAGCAACATTTCCTTGTTTTAAGTTTATTTTTCTATTTAGGCTAATATGATGTCAATTAACCAAGCAAGTGTTAATGCAAGTGTCGTTTTTCATTATTAGGCAAGTGACGGTTTTCATTGGGGTATTAGGCTACATTGATTTAATTGAATTCACGACTTTTCTCTCTCTCTCTCTGCCTTTTTAGAATAACACTTCACTGGGGCCTGCACAAACATGTCATTATATATGCATTTCGATGACATTACTATTATTATTTTGTGTAGGACACAGACATATTTAGATGTCGTAATTCCATGATTTGTTGCGTCTGTGTTATGTTCCGCATGATGGCCCTGTCATCTAACAACCAATCACCGTGATCATTGCGAGGAAGCTCGTGCATGAGAATTGACGTCATCTATAGCAACGAAGACTCACTCTTAGTTTAGGAGTTGTCATTTTTCCTTACTAAGAGTAGGTCTGAAAGGCGTTGTGAATAACTTTTAAGAGAAAACTCCTAGCTAAAATATTTTAGTGCGATTTAGGAGTACTCCTAGTGGTAAGATAAAATTCTTTGTGAATACGGCCCCAGGTCTTGTATCACCCTGAGAGCATCTGTTTTGCCAATGACCGTCCATGCTGTACATTACCCCGCTTGTTACAGGGCTACTTAAAAAAACAACAACAAAAAACATGGACATTATTAAATTATTTTAATCTTATACTTGTACAGGCCACAGGGAGACAAAACTTCAGCACAGCTGTGAGGGGAAACTGTATATTTTATGACCATTTTATTTGGATTATCTTGGTATTTTCAATGAAAGATGTCATGACTTTAACAAACACAATGAATTAAGACTATGCCTGACCTGAAGTTTATTATTTCTAAACCAA